GGGGTGGAGACACCCGGCTTTTAAGCATTTACACGTAACTCACCCAGCAGCGGGAAGGTCGGTATACACGCGAGCTTCACTTCCGCCATCGCGCCGGTGATCGCCTGGCTCACGTAAACGAAGCAGTACTCGATGAACTTCTCAGTGAAGAGATCGCAGTCGAAGTTCAGCGAATGCTTGCCTGGCGCCGCCTTTAATTCTGCCACGTAGTGCAAGGCAGACGGCGGCGCCAGGGAACTCACATCCGCCCGAAGACGACCGTAGACGCGCACGCGATCACCTTGAAGACGACATGTGGGGTATTGAAAAAGAACCGATATGCCTGCTGTTCCCTCACAGGGATAGATTGATCTCGCGTGGACGTTGAAGCTAAACTCGGTGGACCATTCCACCTGCGAATGAAAAAAAATACAATGTATATATAATAATTGTTAAATGAAAAAATGTTAAATAAAAAAACTTGCATGTAATTAAATAGTTTTTCATGAAAGGTTTTTTTATCTCAACATTGCTTAAATATTATACTTTACAACGATTACCTTAAAAATTATCATTTGTATAGATTATTACCCTTGATTCAAATTTTTCCCACAATTTTTATATGAATTGGAACACTTTTCAGAAATACTGAGAAAGTCTATATTTTTCTTAGAATTTTTCATATACAAATTCTGAAATATTTTAAGATTTTTAAGGTTTCTCATACATTCTGTAATAAAAAAGAATGCCTTAAATTTTGTTCAGATTTTATAAGATTTTATCAGAAACTATAAAATGAGAGAAATCTTGGAATATTTTAGAATACACACATATGAAAAATTCTAGAAAAATGTAGATATATATATATATGTAGAGAGAGAGAGAGAGAGAGAGAGAGAGAGAGATACATATATGTATATAAACTAATACTGTCTAAAACCTTTAGAGTAAATTGTCACTCTAAAGTGTGAAATTTCATTCTCAAAGATAGAAAATTGAGTCATTCTTTTTCAAGACGCTCAATTTTTACTCTTTAGAGTGAAATTCCGCTCCAACGGATTTGGAAAATATATATATCTAAACAATTAGTTTTTATACATAAAATAATTTATACATACAATAATTATATACATAAAATAATTTTAATTTATGTACATATATAGTATAAATTATATTCACGACACAATAAGCACGTGATACATTAATCCTGCGATGTTCTAGTTAAATAATTATCTCTTCAATTATTACTTCCCATCACTATACTTCAATGACTTAAACAGGGCAATTTAATTACCTTAATGTACGCGCTGGTCGTCGGTGCGGATGGATTAACTTCCGAGGCCTTTAATCGAAGCGCATAATTTCCAGCCAGTCCAAAAAATTCACATTTCAATTTAACGATCTTCGGCGAAGTGAAGCCATTTATTTCTTCGTAATAGAGCACCTAGGCAAGTTTTTTCGAGGAACATAAGAGATTAGATTTCGCAACGTTCTCGTTTTATATGACACTCCCTTTACTAAATGTAGCGCTTACTTGCATGCGACCGTTGTTCTGTGGATCGCAGGCAGCCGGGGTAGTACCGCAATATATAAGTTGCAAAATATAAGCTGCCACAGGAACACCGTTGGCAGGTACACACGAGATTCCCTTGTACTTTACAGTAGCTATTATCGACTGATTAGGATATGTACCAAAGTGTTGGGATTCCAAAAGCAGAGAAGGGGTTGGCCACTTTACGTCTAAGGCACTGCTCATCTAAATACGTTTTCCAGTTAAACACTTCTTCGAACAGTATATTTATATTATAAATACAACGTTTATTATGATTCTTTTACGATTCCTTCGTGTCCTCGAAAAAAAATTTATGAAGTGAGATTTCAAAGAAAATTAATTTCTACACTTTCATTTATCAATCTATCTTGAATTTTATCTTGATTCATATTAATCAATATTAATGGTTTTGCAATCTCTTTAATTTTTGCTAAAGAAGATTTTATAATGCGACGGCTAAAAATAGCCAATAACTCTAAAGGTATAACGTAACAAATTATGCAATTATTGTTAAAATTATTATAGTTGTATGTATGTTAAAATTATTATAATTGTATATATTAAATTAATTAATGCATCTGATATTATAAATGCAACCTTAATAGTAAAATTAATGTACCCACCTCAATTTCAGGCAGCCCAGCAATGGCAGTGTTATGTCTGGCAGCCACGGTTGAGAACTTGTACTGAAGTCGTAGTGTATAAATTCCGCCACGCGAGAAGACACCACAAGGTATTATCACAGAAATATTCTCACCCTTATGCGGCAAGGTATCCAGAGGGAAATTACCAATCAATTCCGATGTGAGGCCATCGACGTACAGTATTCTAAAATTAATTTAACCACTCATTTGTGAGTAAAGAATAAAATAAGTAATTAATATTTGTGAAAATAATTATATAAGTGGAACAATTGATCGATGAAAAATAAATCAAATAATAACAAGAATCCTATTTTCAAAGCGGATTTTGATACTTAATAATATTATATGCAAATTTGAAAATATATTTTTAATGCTATAAACTGCGCATCAATTCAATTTGTCGGACTTGAATCATAAACTAAAGTTGAAAATATTTATGAAAATGGGTCTTGCAACTACAGATGCATTTTAATTATCTTCTATGATTATTTTACTTTAATGTTTGCTTATTTAAGGGTGCGTGTAAACAGCTGAATATTTCAGGGCGCCGCGACAACGTGCGTGTTTGTTAAGTTTTATGACTCTTTTACATACCTAAGCACAAGCGGTTCGTGACCCGCGTTAACTCCCTCTCTTTTTGGATCGATTGTTTCTTTCTCGTCTTTCCTTGTGCCATTTGTGCCGTTGGTGGACATGATATTTGTGGATATCGTAAAAGATTCTATTTCTGCCGAATCCAAAATAAAAACGGTTACGTCTCCGGACAAAGCCGTGTGGGACGGAGGAGCAACAACTTTTAATAGTATCGGCTCCTTCGCGTCTGTCATCGATCTTGTGATACCTGAAACCAGTAAACACGAATATCTAAAGTTGCACAAAGCAACTTTACGTCAAATACCTTTTTTAATAAATAGAGACGTTAGTCAATAATTATCTATAAATTAATTTAAATAATTATGTTTAAACAATTATATATAATCTGATATACAAATGCAAGCTTAGTATTGTTCATATGATTGGAGCTAAATTGTTAATATTAACTCTAACTTAGCTGCAACTGATGAAGACTTTATGAGTGCGAAATGTCTTACGATAATTTAAGAATAAGTACGACTGTGTAAATAATATACAGAAATATACATAAATATAGATAGTAAATAATACACATAAATATAATAGAAAACGTCAATAATTGGTCAAAGTCAGATATTATAAATTTCGTTTCGGCGCACAGTCACATCTAATTGTGAGATAATTAAATTTAAATTAAAAATATATATATTGTATTTATAACAACTAACTTTGACTGATTATTGGCGTTCTCTATCATATTTATGTCTTAATGTTTATTTTTAAATGGACCTTGTAATTTTTTAGCCTATTTTTGAATATATTGTCCTAATTTTTTAAAAATCTTTTTTTGTTCATTTATTGGTCACTTGATTGTGATTTACTAACTTAGCTCTCTTTTATCTTGATATAATTATTTTTTAATTACTAATTGTTAATATATATGTAATATAGAATTAATATTGTAGAATTATATGATTCTCAATTATGTTACTTATTCTTATAGTAGAATCTTGCATTTCTTTTACGTCTGTGCGAAAATTAAAATCTATGTTATTAAATACCGCATCTCAGAAGAAGGATGATTAATAATCCCAATGATGACCATTCGAATGTCCAATTCATGTCCGGCTCTTCATTGATGACCGCCAGGGCCTAACCGAGATATTTCGGTGCCCCAGAAAATATAACAAATCTGCGTATCTATTCTGTTAATAATAATAAAATGCGCTTAAGTTAGAGTTAGACAGTTAAATAAATTAGACTGATATTATCAGTATAAAATAAGTTAAAGCAAAGTAGAACATACTAGAGATTACATTTAAAGAAAGTAAACCAGAGTAACCCAGATTACGTCAGAATAATAAACGTTCTTATAAAGCTCCTGGAAAGCTCCTTTAACCCAGATGATAACTATCGAACATGCGATTGAGGCATTGAATTCTTAAAGAATTTTTTTTTGTAACAGTAATTAAAATTAAACATTAAGACACTATAATATAAACTGCATTTTTAATTCTATTTTTAATATTCTTGTCTTAGTACTAAAAAGTTACATAAAGCTAATAACATATATTACAGATAATATTCTTTTCTTGGATATCATAATTTCTAATTCTTTTAATAATAACATTATTTTAATTGTGAGCTCTGTAAATAAAGCTTTCTATAAAATTATTTTTTGAATATAATATAATTTATATGTCTATTTAAAACCTTTATTTATTGATTTTAACTTTAATTTTGAATTAAGAAATTAAATTTATTTAAACATAAAATACATTTAATAATTAAAAAATTAATAAATTTATGATTTTTGGTCTAAGCTTTTGCTAAATTCGTCTACTTATAATTATCTTATTTTTGCGATCGATATGTATTAATGCAAGGCACATCGTCAATTTATTGGCTTTATAGATGCAAATAAGTTAACGCTGCTATAGCAGCTTAATTTTGCTTTGGGCCAACGATCAAAGTCACCGGGTGACGTGCGTGCGTTTTGCATCCCCGCTCCGCTTCTGAAAATCTGCAGCCCTGTATAATTGCACGTGTTGAACCCTTAGGGCAACCCCGCGTTGCTTCTCGGAGGGAAATCGAAATCGGGCATCGTCCTTTCGCGTCGGTATCGATCGACTGTGTCCCTAGCGTGCACCGTTTCAAAAAACGCACATACGCGTCTGTGTATAACGCCGACCGCATTAACAGATATGAGATATTTCGTGCTTTTAACGTGATATTTGCAAAATTAATACAGAGAATAGAGATTGCACAATTAACATTTACAAACTTAATGAATTACATATTTAACATAGAATTCTATTTTTACCGCGCATTTAAAATGTGATAAATAAAAATAGATTTTTTAAAATAATTTTTTTATGCTGCAACTTTTGCATTTATTATATTCCATATTGAATAGTTCATTAAATAATTTTTATCATAGATAGTATTTTGTATAAATATAATTTGTGAAAAAGTTTATTTTCCACAAATTTATTTGATAGAAAATAATAGATTAATTAATAATTGTAAGACATTAACAACTTAAAAAAAATTTTTATTTGTATTCAATTTAGCTAGCTATAAAATTAACTATATACATATACTATGAAATGTGTAATATTCGTCTGAATCGTTTTCCGATATCAGCTCTATGTCCACAAAATATTTGCGCATATCTGTGAAAGACCTGACTGGTCTCCACGGGGTATCTCGAACCCCCTGAGGATTCTTTTCACGCGAAACAAAAATGGATATATGGTGGACCCTTCCATAAATGTGCTCGTTAAAATCGGGATTTCTCGCTGTCTGCGTTCCCCTGCTAATTTACGAGAAAATGCGATCCATGTGTGAAATTTTTCCTTTTCCTTATTGAAATATCTTGTTTGAAAAATCGCATAAATTTGATATAAAATTTTTGTTGTAAATACTTATAAAATATAATATTGTAAAGAGATTAATTTACTATAATTTAAAATAATGTTATTATTAAAGTAAAGAAATCAAAATCTGCAAGAATTATTTAGTTCAGTAAATAATTATCCTTGCAGATTTTCATTTCTCTATACTTTATAATTTTTTTGTAATTTTTTCTTCTTTCGAGAAAAAAGATAAAATTCTCTTATTATTTGATTAATCAAAGAAAGTTATTACTGACAAGTAATTTATTTCACATTTTGCTTTTAATAATAAGTACTTTGGACCTAAATGAGAATTGGTATTCTAATAAATGAGAATAGATGACATAGTATGTGTGTGTGGACAATCCACGTGTTGGAATGGCGTAAAAAGCGGTATTTGGATCGATTATGCAATTGGAATAATGAGTTCGTTGCTGCGTGCAAAAGGGAATACCGACCCCACACAGACAGATACGCGTTGCTTATCGCAGCGAACACGCGTAGTGGTGATTAACATTGATATATCACAGATAAACATCGCCCCTCTGTCGGAGGCGCGACGATAGGGCAACGTCGAGTACTCTTGCAGTAACAATCGCAAAACATGCACAAGATGCATCGATAATTTATGGCCAAAAATAAATCATGTCAATGTTTTAAAATATGCGTAACAATTATGTATAATATTTTTTTATTCTTTCATTTCTATTTTTTATTTTTTTATTCTATTCTTTAATCGAATTTCTGAGTTAAAGTTTAATTGACAAATATGTTCTCTGATATAAAAAGAAAAATTTGATTAAAACTTCGCATTAACAATACTTTGCCAAATAATTGCTCTAATTATAAGTTTAAATATTTGAAATATTTTTTATTCGAAATTACATTTTTCATTAAAAATTCAATATCTACCGTTTATTTTTAAATTACCTTTACTATATATAATTATCAGTTGTTATCAAGCATTTTGAATATTTTCTAAATGTAACGTAGAAGATAAGTGAAAGATATTTTTTAAACGCCTCAAACATACATGCGATAGGTATCATAATTTCAAATAAAATATCTTCGAAACATGTTTGAAATATTCTTTCAACATTTACGTTGTTTATAAAAATCAACGCTTACGCAATACTTTTATCCAGATACGGTCCACATCTTCCCGGCGCGATTAATCACAGATCGCAGATCTTTTCCGCAGACACGACAGATGAATTTGACCGCCGGTCGTCCAATCCGATCGATCGATCTTGTCTTTCATCGATCCCCCCTTCGCGTATCGACGACGACGATGTCAACGAGCGGCCGTTTTGCCGACCGAAGGACGACGAAGGGGGTGCGCGATTACTCTGACGGTGGTGGCGGCTTTCTAGAATCGATATCGAGAGCCACACGCGAAATTGCCGGCTCGCCTATCCACGCCGCACAAACACCCTCGCGCGCATCCCCGCGCTGCTCCGAGGGTCGACCCTCCGACGGACACGAAATTACCCTCCCGCCAAGGGAGAATACCGACGATGTTTATGAGAGTTGGGACGCTAAGAAACCGACACTATTCTTACGTCTTTCTTTTTCTTTCACGACCCTTCTTTTTTTTCTTTTTTAGTAAACTAGAAGTAACTTTGAATTTCTTGTTTATTTTAAATCTTTAGAAGTAAATCCATAACTGCAACGTATACATTTTTCGAATTAATACGGCAAGAAATAAGAAAAAAAAAAACGCTTTTTCTCTCGTCTTCGATCGTTTCCTTAGAGTCAACGTTGTCAACACCGCGACGCTAATGACAACCGTGAAGACTAGGCGTATCACTGAATAAACTGAAATCGAGTTTATAATTTAAAAACAATTTATTTTTCTTTACGACAGTCTAATCAAATTATTCGCGGATACCGCTACTCCC